AGCTCTTGACACGCGAGGGCCTAGAGGCAACGTAGCTGACAGTAGTAGCTCCGCCAAAGGAAAAGCCGACGATATGAGCAGACTGCCAGTTCAGGTGTTCCAGTAGATTGTCGATGAGCTCGTGGAATAGTGATGCTTCGTGTGGAGCAACAGGTGTATCGCTCAGTCCGTGGCCCCAGAGATCAATCAGAACCATATGCGCAGCCGGGAATGATTTCTCGAGAGCGCGGGTAAGGGGCAGCATGCCTAGCGCTGGGGTCTGAACACCATGGATAAAGAGCACTTTATCAATTTTGGTGGTACCATCGTTGGATGATGAGGGTTTGAACTCGTAATAAGCAGCCTTGCCGCGGGGAGTCTGAAGGAATTGAGCGGACGGCAGTAAAGCTCCAAATGTTGCGACGAAAGCGGACTCTGTCGGCCCTGCAACTGGCGGCTGAGGCTCATAACTCGCCCCTGGGCGCGGTAGAACAAGATTTTGTGGCATAATCAACCTTTTTGCTAATGATACGTGGTGAGAGAGCATTGTGCTGGCCATGCGGGTTTTATGAGGCCCATCAAGCCAAGTGGAGCTTTGATAAGCGACCACGGCGGTCTAGCCCACTGAGCTTACCATGATCCTTCTAAGATCCTTTCATGCCACCTGCGTCGATAGGATAAATATGCAACTAGATTGCGGAGTACTCTCATCACAGAAAACGTCTTCATGTATAACTAGAATAGGTTGGCCTGTGACAGGTGTTTTTGACCACGTCGACCGAAATCATGATGATCTGGCAAGCGAAGTGGATCATTTACGAAGCTACGGAGTAGTCGGATCAGTTCCGATTGTTGATCCCTGGAGAAAAACTGAGTCACCCCGGCCTCGGAAACAAAAAGCTAGGTATCAATTCCATGCTGCCCAATATCGAACAGGCTATCTCGTTGTCCTTTGTCTGAACCTTGGTTTCCTGTAACCTCAACTTCATAAATTCAAAAAAACTGGCAGCGTCGTGTCATAATGTCCGAATCTTCAGATCCCGCGCCGAAATACCGCATCCGGCCCGGAACCTTCTTTGATGTTCCAGCCACTACACGGATCTATGCTGCATCATTCAGTAACGAACCACTAATCGACTTTTTCTTCCCCACGAGGAGACAGGATCCTTTGTCTTTCTTTACGTGGTCTTGCCGACGATTTCAGCGTCGGTATTGGACGCCTGGGTATTCACTGAGTGTCGTGGTTGATAAGCATGATCATCCGGTCGGCCTATCGTGGTGGAAACGACCAACTCAGCCTCTAACACTCCTTCAAAAGCTCCTCTCTCCTTGTAAGCTTGTTTACTACGTCTCTTTCGGATCTCTTCTAATCTTATCAGCGTTCTGGATGGGTTCAGTCGTCAACGCTTTCATCGACCTTCAAGAATATCTCTTCCCAGTCCAAGGTCTGAACAAGAAGAACATGGAAACCTTTGAGAAAGCATTTTCTGCCGTTGAGCCGCATGTGCTAGACACCCCGACAAGGCAAAAGGCGCACTACCTTTCTCTGTTGGGCGTCGACCCCGTTCTGCAAGGAGAGGGTCTTGGCAAGATGCTGCTGGAGGATGGACTTGAGAAGGTAGATGATGCGGACTCGGCGGCATGGCTTGTTAGTCTAGCTGATCTGGAGAAGCTTTATGCAAGATATGGGTTTGTTGAGGCCACCAAGGTTGAGGTTGAAGGGTTGCATGATTGGAAAGGTGGTATGGTGATGGTTAGAGATTGATCGGGTTCTGATAGCAGAAGCACAGTGGGACGTATATCTCGGGATCTCCCTATTTCGTGCATATATGAAGTATTTGGTGTTGAGAGTATAGAATTGTATCAGAATAGTCACAAGCCGAATTGGGATCTCCGAAAGAAGCTTGCCAGCAGCCTAGGGTGATTAATCATGCTGTGAACTTCAATATAAAGCAGATGCATCAAATATATATGAGTCGGCCTTGTACAGGAGTAATATTCATAGTATTCCGGGAGTCTTGTTTTGCCGAATCGGCACCGAGATGGACTCCAGCAGCTAGTCACCGTGTTATATGGCGATGACGTTTAATCCGAGATCTCCGAGGAACGTGCAAGTATATTAGACACACGACACCAGATATCTCTGTCCTGTACCAGCTTCGGCAGTTTTGAGCTTGCATCCCTTGTTCCATTTGAGCTTCAATTTTCTTGTCCTTCAGAGCGTTGGTAAACAATTCATCATTGCAATGAGTATCACACTTGAGGAACACTTTCTATCTCAAGCAGCACACTCGTCAACGGTAGCGACAAATGACCCGATCCATGGGTTTCCTACCAGTATCATCAACAAGCTCGTTGACTTCGATGATGAGCGAATCAAGAACATGGATGAGAACAATGTAGCAATTCAAGTCCTGTCTCACACTCCAGCCAACTTTCTCACCGCCGAAACAATAATAGCTTGTAACGATGAGCTTGCTGCAGCTGTCCGAGCGAATAAGTCTCGCTTCGCTGGCTTCGCGTGCCTCCCGATGGGTGATCCCATGGCAGCAACTCATGAGCTTGAAAGATGTATCAAAGAGCATGGGTTCGTTGGTGCGCTCATTGATAACCATTCCAACGGCAACTTCTACGATGGTCCTGAGTATGATATTCTTTGGGCAAAAGCTGTGGAGCTCGATGTGCCGATTTATATACATCCTGCGTGGCCGAGTGAAAACGAAAAGGAGGCTTTGTACTCAGGCGGTAATCTGCAGTCAGACAGTAGCTCAGCGACTGCACTCGGCGCCTTTGCTTTTGGATGGCATGCCAGTACTGCGAACACCATTCTGCGTCTAATGGCCAGTAACACATTTGACCGCCACCCCAAACTCAAAATCATCATTGGTCATTCTGGAGAGCTCATACCATATATGTTTGACCGTATCAACAAGGCCACTACATTCTTCGGGATGGAACGCGGATTTGCGGAAGTGATGCATAGTAATATATGGATCACAACTTCGGGAATGTTTGATGTGCATTCGTTGCGGTGTCTGTTGGGCAACATGCCTCTGAGTCAAGTCATGTTTAGTGTGGATTATCCTTTCAGCGATAACAGGCTTGGCAAGGAGTATTTAGAGACGATTCGAAAGGAAGGGGTTCTTGATGAGAATGGAATTGAGGCTTTCGCTTCTGGTAACGCAAGAAGGTTGTTATTTCATCAAGGTTGAGAAGATGATGCCACTGGTCATATCAGCGTCGACAACTTAATTGTTATATTATGTCGTTGGGATGAATTATTTTTACCAAGGTTTAAAATGCTGACATAGCATCTTCAATGCCTCGCTAACCCTTAGCAATCAGCGCGCATCATCAGTGTTCGTATAGTGTCGCCCTGGACTATTTGAGACTACCTCAGCGCTAATCCAATTTGATACACATCCACGTCATCCAATCAATTGCCAACTTTAAAAAACGAGACAGCGCCCTTTTCTTGTTTATTCCGGATCAGCAGCCCATCTCCACCACAACAATGCCTAGAGCTCACGACCATTTCCACGGTCGGCATTACCACGCTGAGCGCACAACTGGCCCTGTCAAGGCGCTCAATCCAACGAAGCGATATCTAGTTGCCGACAAGAAGACACTCAATGCTGAGTCTGACGCCGGAAATGCTGGGAAAGAATCGCGACCGGGTGAAAAGAGCCCTGGAGTTGCTTACGTGTGGAGGAGTCGCGATAACAGAAAGGGACGGCATGCGCTAGCCATTGGTGTTGATCCTCACAAGCATGCAGCGACGAAAGGACCGAGGCCATCGAATACGTATCACCAGACTTTACGCGGCATCTTGAAGATGTTTGTCAGATGCCCAGTCTGGGATGTATCGTACGATGTCGCCGTCGTCTTCACAATAGGTACTCACCATCTCATCACACAAAGTAATAGCTAATTATTGAAAGGTTCGATCATCTGGGTAATCAATGGCTTTTACTCATGGATCCCCGTTCTCAACCCCTCAACCAAGGTGTCTGACTGGGCCGGCGGATTGACAGCTTTCATTGGCGCTACGGTCTTTGAGTTTGGCTCGATCCTACTCATGCTCGAAGCTGTGAATGAGAACCGATCGGACTGCTTTGGTTGGGCCGTTGAGGAAAGCGTAGACGGGATGCTTCATCTCACTCACGCGCATAACTGCAAGCATGCACACGCGCAAAAGGGGACTTTTGTGAAGCAAAGCTCTAAACCCCTGGGCAATGACACCGCGGAGTCATCGGGAAATGATCGGATGTGGTCTTGGTGGCCGACGTGGTATGAACTCAGAACACATTATTTCTTCGACATCGGCTTCCTGGCCTGTTCTTCACAGACATTCGGCGCCACTGTATTCTGGATATCAGGCTTCACAGCCTTGCCGCCTATACTCAACAACCTCTCTACACCAGCGGAGAACGGCGTCTACTGGCTCCCTCAAGTGATTGGTGGCACAGGCTTCATCGTTTCAAGCATCCTCTTCATGGTTGAAGTTCAGCCTCGATGGTACATTCCAGCGCCGGGGGTGCTGGGGTGGCATATTGGACTGTGGAACTTGATTGGCGCTATTGGCTTTACTCTCTGCGGTGCGCTGGGCTTTGGCATCACGCATCCAGGCGTTGAGTATGCACTGACACTTTCGACATTTATAGGTTCATGGGCATTCTTGGTGAGTTCGACTGTGCTTTGTGGACAACATTGGCTGACATGGATTGCAGATAGGTAGTGTGATTCAGTGGTATGAAAGTCTTGATAAGTATCCTATCTGGGTGGACCAAAAGATCGAGAGACTTGGGCAACGAAAGAGCTGAATACAATATCCTATTCCTACCTATTTACAGGCAGAACTAGATGACTTACCAAAGCTACTATAGCTGTCATTTTATATCTGACTAATCGTTTCGCTGGAATATCTACCTCTAGCGAAAGTGAAACCGGATTAGCTACGGATTCCCAGTCTCGAGTACTTTATCAAAATTGACTCTCCAGGATTTAATCTGATTATATCTCTAAAGGGACGGGTTATGAGGGAAAAATCCACTTAACGGCATGTCCCATTCTAAATTCACGTCCAGCATCGCGGTGTCCAGCCACGATGACAGATCATCATCAATCTGAAAATGTTCAAGCTCACCAAACTCCCAACATATTCCAGTATCCACTGTCTCCGACCAATTGCAACTTCCAGATCCAGTTCCTAGCCCACCCAGACCATCGCTTGAGACGACTGGGGCCGCTGTCGTCCTTTGCGTAGTGGAGCGTACCACTAAAGCCCCTGCTGTGGCTTGCAACCCAGCCTGTTGAACTACATCCCGCCGGACATATCCGAAGTGGGGGATCGCAATTCTATCTGGTAGTTGGCTCGATGCGCTTTCGTCACTGTCGAGGGTAATGCCGGATAATATGTCAAGCATCCTTCGACATTGACAAGCAACCTTACATCCTGCCTTCTCTTCTCTTTCAAATATGCTTTTGACTTGTGCAATCAGGTTCTGATCTTCGTCTGGAACCGAAACGGTGATCTCGTCTGACCGAGGTTGCGACAGACATAGGATCAGAGATACACAAGCCATGAATCCGACGAAGTCGCTTGTTTTACAGTCAAAGATACTGAAGCCCTGGATTTCAGTACGCAAAAGTGTAAACCGTTTAAGTAGATGCCGAGAAGCTTCCAAACATGCCAGTCTGTGAGAGCCTCGAGCAGATGTCATCTCTGTGCCGACGATGAATGGCAGATGGAGGTTAATTCTGACATGAAAGAAGTAAAAATGCAAGAGCAAAATGTTTCTCAGCTCATCCGTTTCGGCATGGCAGTTTGGAAGTGAGTCGGGTAAATCCCACCAGCTCAAGGGCATAGAAGAAGCGATGGTATCCATTTGTTCATCAAGGAGCATTGAACTTGCAGAGGATGGCTTCCCGGGCATCATATTCCGGTCAATGATCTTTCCTGCAATGGAAGCACACCGCAAAACGAACCGCTGTTCTGGGTATGTAGGCGCGTTATATGGTTCCACGGTTGGACCAAGATGAGCGTCGTTGAATCCATATGGAATGCCAAGAAGAAGACTTGAAAAGCGATCTCCGTGGTAAAATGCCCACCAGATACTCTTCAGACGAGGGGAAACCATTTCTCGTCTATACAGGCCCTGTGACGTTGTTAGCTTTGTGAATACCAATTATATATCAGATAGAATTACCATAACTTCCGAAATAGCAAGACCTTTCCTATACATCATCCAAGACTGTCTAGGTTGACCAATATCACTGTAGGCCTTAGCCAACAACAGAAGAAGCTCCATTGCCTCGGCAGAGTAAGAGTGCGCAGAATCTGGAATGGCCAGTTTATCAACGAGCCCGTATAGATGATGGTTATTGCCCGTGCTACGTGCATATGCAACAACAAGCATGCCAAGTTTGGCAGGGTCACTGCTCGTGTAGACACGTACAGCAAACGCGGCCAGGTCTTCGTAAGTTCCCTGGCAGATGACCTGAACCTTCTGACGAAAGCTGCTCCACCAGGCCCCATTCTGAGACAGAGTAGATATCAAAAGATCATATTCTGGTAGAACCGAACGAAGCTTTAAGCACGCATCACTTGAGCTTTGCGTGTAGAACGGAGGACTTTTGCGAGATGCAATCTCGTGAACAGGTCGGGTTATCTGATGACTTTCTATCGATCCCTTGGAAACAATCAGCGCATCATAATCGAGCATCACCTGACAACATACCTTGGCTTTGTTGAGCATGGACACAAAGGGCGCCCTTTCATCAGCCTCAACTGGCTCGTCTTCAGTATCAAACTCTTCATGATTTAGGGTCGGCTCATGCGCTATAACGTGATTCCTGACCATCTTTTCGAGAACGGCGACCCTTTCCCGCAAGCTCACACTTTCGGTATTAATATTGCTCTCGTTCACTGGAGTCGCATCTCGCTGATCGAGACAACGAGACCCACGGGCAGCACATGGGATGCAAGGGGATGCAGCTCCAGGGTGGAACTTGCATTTTATTTTTCTCCTTCGACCTAAGGTAACTGTCAGCTTGACGATTGTTCAACAGCATATAGAAACAATTTGCGAAATAACACCCTGCTATCCTATACGAGGTTCGTGATATTTACCCGAAGGGACCAGATTCATATTAAGTCCAAATCAGTATAGTGACTCACATTCACTGCAGCTATGCGTCCCCTTTCTCATCTTCCTTCTAGCCGTGACGGACTGTGACATTGCCCTCGGGGCTGCGGCCGTGGCGGACATGGTATGCCTAGCAGAGTAGATGGACTCACGTGGTCGGGGTCTCTTTCGGCCGAAATCCTCTTCGCTCCAGCTGATCAGGCCTGTCGTATGGGACGAAACGATGCGTGAGCGGTAATGGGTTACCGAGACAGCTCATGGTGAGACGGACGAGTTTGGTCCGCATCACGTGACATAAGCACATAATTGATCACATCTCCGTCCGTTCATGAGTCCCAGATGTGAAAGATATGGCCGAATTTGGATTATCGCCATCCAGCTGAATCTTGATTATGGGAAAATTAAACTATAAGAAGATGGAAGGCTTCCCATTTTTGCCTCACCATCAATAGCATACTCACACAACAATTCACAATCAATCACATCTCCAATTCTCATACTCCCTTCAAAAACATCAACTATTTTATCATGGCTCCTCTTGTCTGGCTCGTAACTGGCACCACATCTGGCATTGGTGCTGCGTTGGTAAATGAAATCGTTGCCCGCGGCGACAAAGTCATTGCCTCCGGTCGCAAAGCAAACCAGAAACTCGGCCACCTCAAGTCAGATAATTTAGCCATCTTGGAACTAGACATTACGGCCCCGTGGACCATGGTTCAAGCTACGATGAACGAGGCCTGGGCCATCTTTGGACATATTGACATTCTGTTGAATAATGCCGGTGCTTCTGCCTTGAAGTGCGCAGAAGAAGCTGAGTAAAGAGCCTATGAACCCTTCAGTTAAGAAGCGAGCTAACAAGGAATGATAGAGATGCATATGTCCAAAACCTCTTCCAAGTCAATCTCTTTGGACACATGAACGTTACTCGCGCCATACTCCCGCATTTCCGTGCCCAGGGCCATGGTCGCATTGGCTTCACTTCCTCCGCCAGCTCATGGGGTCCTCTGCCCTTTATGTCCCACTATGCAGCATCTAAGGCTGCTCTTAACACTTACATCGAGAGCCTCCATAAGGAGGTCCGACCTTTTGGCATTTCTTGCGTCGGGTTCATGTGCGGTAACTTTCCTACCAACCTCGGCCACCCGAGGGATGAAGATGCTCCAGAATTCGCAATCCAAGGACCTGCCATTGCAGACTATAACAAGCTCATGGGGGAACTTGGGCTCATGTTTGCCAAGGCATTTGCTCAGCGGACAGGTGAGCTGGACAAGGTCGCGAAGGTTATGGTGGATATTATGAAGGGCGAAAGGATCGCGGCTGGGAAGCCATGGGCGGTTAGTATTGCTATTGGGTCTGATGCTTTCGATTGCGGAGAGCAGAAGTGTGAGGAGCAACTCAGGCTGCTGAATGAGTGGAAAGATGTAAGCTATGTTACGGATCGGGACGGCCATGATCACGTCACACCTAAGGAGTATTTGGACTTTGCCTCCATGCTCTAGAGTAAGGACCAGAAAGTATTGGTATTTAGCTAGTAAATACACAAGAAACAATACGCCCGAGTTGCAATAAACTAGGAAACAGCGCGTTGGACCATCTATTTATCGCTTCCAGTATTAAGCAGCTTATCCTGAAGTGAACTACTAAAATCTTCTCAGTAAAAGGAGAAAATAACAAGTCACGCTATAAACATGTGAACTATGCTTGTGATTCCACACTACCCTACACTCACTCAATTTTTTCGAAGCTTAAATGGCTGGAGCCGGAGCGCGTGATTGGTCCCATGACTTAATGAGGGGGACACGTACTTAAGAAATGAAAAATAACTCATGCTTCGAAAAGCAGGGCACCCTTTAATATTACTCATCGCCATAATTTTGGCACTGTGTACCTGAAACGTCACGACGATCAGCAATGTCAACCCCATACCCTTTCGATCTTGGCTTGTACAAGCGAACCATCTCGACTACCTCCCCGGAAAGCCAAGCTTGGTTCAGCCGTGGACTCATATGGGCGTACGCATTTAATCATGAGGAATCCGTCTTCTGCTTCGAGCAGGCCGCCATTTCCGACCCTGACTGCGCGATGGCCTACTGGGGCTTGGCGTATAGCCTAGGGCCTAACTACAACAAGCCATGGTCGTTCTTTGATGACAAAGACCTGGCTGACGCAGTTGGGCGTGGTCACAATGCCGCCCGTACAGCCATGGCTAAGATGTCAGCCTGCAATCCAGTTGAGCAAGCCCTTATCACAGCACTTCAGCACCGTTACCCGCAAGAGAGACCTTCGAATTGTTCCTCTTGGAATCAGGGCTTTGCTGATGCAATGGAAGGGGTGCACAGGCACTTTCCGGACGACTTGGATGTCATTACCTTGTATGCAGACGCTTTGATGAACTTGAATCCATGGAACCTTTGGGATCTTAAGACGGGAGATCCTACGCCTGGAGCTCACACGCTGAAGATCAAAACGATAATCGATAATGGCTTGAAGCTCAACGGTTCTTTGGAGCATCCCGGCTTACTCCACTTGTATATCCATTTGATGGAAATGTCTCCGAGACCAGAAGATGCTCTTGCAACGGCCAACCATCTTCGTGGGCTCGTACCTGACGGAGGACATCTACACCACATGCCAACTCACTTGGACGTACTATGTGGACACTACCAAGCTGCCATTGACTCCAACTCGGAGGCGATCAAAGCCGACGATAAGTATTTATCCAAAGCTGGACCCTTGAACTTTTATTCTCTGTACCGGTGCCACGATCTTCATTTTCGGGTTTACGCTGCTATGCTCGCGGGGCAGTACAAAGTTTGCATTGACACTGCTAGTCAGCTAGAGTCTACTATCCCGAAGGACCTTCTTCAAATCGAGTCTCCGCCTATGGCTGACTGGCTTGAAGCGTTTCTGAGTCTTCGTGCTCATATCTTGGTCAGGTTCGGAAAATGGCAGGATCTGATTGATATGGAGCCACCTGAAGACCAGAACTTATACTGTATGACCACGTCGATCGTCCTGTATGCGAAGAGTGTAGCTTTTGCTGCTACGGGCAGAGTGCCAGAATCGGAGCATCACAAAGGACTATTCCACGAGTCTTTAAAGAGAGTTCCGACCTCTCGCACTCTTTTCAACAACACTTGTCTGGATATCCTCCGAGTGGGTGAAGCTATGCTCGATGGCGAACTGGAATACAGGAGAAAGAATTATGATGTCGCCTTTGAGCACCTCCGTGAGGCTATTCGTCGCGAGGATAATCTTCCTTATGACGAACCGTGGGGATGGATGCAGCCTACCCGCCATGCATACGGTGCGTTGCTTATGGAGCAGGGGTATCTCGAGGAGGCAGTTGAGGTGTACAAGACAGACTTGGGACTCAACGATAAACTACCTAGAGCTTTGAGGCACCCTAATAATGTGTGGGCACTGCACGGCCTTCACGAAAGTTTGTCGAGATTAGGCAGAGAACCAGAGGCGAAGGAGATTGAGGGCCTTCTGCAAAAGGCACTGGCAGGTACCGACGTTCTTGTTAAGGCCTCTTGCTATTGCAGACTAGATAAATGAGAATGCACATCGACAATAAATAAATTTTGTAATATTTTTAATCTTTAAGCTATGAGGAAATATGAGTTGCAGAGCCGTGGCGCCTGTCGTTTCAAAAGAGCTAACTTCTCGTTGCCTATGTTCATCACTCCTGTTCGTTCAATGGTGAAGACGGCAGTACCCACCGAGGGGTATTTAGGATAACTAAAACATTAATGGTATCTCATAAATTCTAAGAAGATAATTGTTCTCTAAGTTCTGTACCAGGTTTTCTTTGTCCTGCTACATGAACATATCAGAAGCTTGAGCCCGAACTTTGTGTTCATATATGTTCATAGTGTAGTATTTAATGGAGGACAAAGCACAATATGTTCTCGATGAACATCAGAAATATGACAAAGAATCCAGCGGAAGGCACTGGTCGCAGAATGTCACCGAACCATATGTTATTCTCACGAATATGTAGAGTGCTAGTTCCAAGCCTTGAAGCTCACTGGGATTAACTTGCGAATATATAAACCTAACTTCCTTATCATCATCTGGGCTTTCTTTTCATCAACAAAACAACAACCTTTGAACCTATACCACAATCTGCAACACAGTAAATACTAATCCTACTATCAAACATCCATCATGGCTTGGGCAACAACCGAGGAAAACACTTGCCTGCGAGCGCGTCAGATCCGCCGCTATTATGACAAGCACATCGGTTCGGAAGGCCCCCTGAAGTACGGAGACAAGATCCTCCTATCTGACATCGACCTCGCCACGACTCTCGCTCCAGACTATAGTCTTAAGCTTTGTGCTAAGGGTGAGGAAGAGTATCCCGAGCAGTGGGATTCGAAAGCCAAATCGCTTTCTTACACGCTTAGCAACTTCCGTCTCAAGGCCAAGGAGCTTGCAGCTGCCATGGGCAAGGAGATTGAGGATTTCATGACCAAGGACGCAACAACTATTCCACCAGTTTTCCTTGGGGGTAATGGCGATAGGGCTCATGTTCGTTCCCTTGAGTTGATTGCCAGCTGCCTGAAGAGGGAATTGGCGGAGGTCAACAAGGGAAAGATGGCTGCTGAGGAGGAGGCTAAGCAATACTTGGCTCGAGCTAAGGAGGCTGAGGCTCAACTTAAGCGGCTTCTGGAGGAGCAGGAAGAGGAAGACGATGAAGATGAGGAGAG